GTTGGTAGTGGTGTAGTGATTCCTATATATAGGAGAGGGTGAGTGTGTAGTAGGTAATGAGTAGGTGAAGTGGAGTTGGTAGTGGTGTAGTGGGTTAGGTTTAGTGGTGTAGGTGAGGTGGTAGTGGTGTAGTGGGTTAGGTTTAGTGGTGTAGGTGAGGTGGTAGTGGTGTAGTGGGTTAGGTTTAGTGGTGTAGGTGAGGTGGTAGTGGTGTAGTGGGTTAGGTTTAGTGGTGTAGGTGAGGTGGTAGTGGTGTAGTGGGTTAGGTTTAGTGGTGTAGGTGAGGTGGTAGTGGTGTAGTGGGTTAGGTTTAGTGGTGTAGGTGAGGTGGTAGTGGTGTAGTGGGTTAGGTTTAGTGGTGTAGGTGAGGTGGTAGTGGTGTAGTGGGTTAGGTTTAGTGGTGTAGGTGAGGTGGTAGTGGTGTAGTGGGTTAGGTTTAGTGGTGTAGGTGAGGTGGTAGTGGTGTAGTGGGTTAGGTTTAGTGGAGTAGGTTTAAGTGGGTGAAGTAGGTGGAGAGCAGGTGGATTTTAACACGAATCATCTTAGACAAGTCCCAATCCTACAACCCTATACATAAAAGCACAAACTCAAAACACTTGAGGTCCTTCTCTCCGCAAAATTTTACAGGAATAATTTATCAAGAAAATCTAGTTATAACAAGATAGATCTTCTATTTTGAGTGAAACAAAAACATCTCTTTATATTATTCCTAATTAATGTACCATAAATATAGAAAAACAAGAAATAAGAGCAAAGAGTATATCATGACAAATAAAACAGATATAGTCCTAAATAGCAACTAAGAAACTAAAGATGATGCCTAATCTCACCTGTCGTATTAACAGAGAAATTATTATATATAAATCTTGTGGAATAGAGATACAAATGTTGTGGTGGTTTGGTGGTTGGAAGACTAAACTTCTTTAAATCTAGTCTCATGATAAAACACTGATTGTACATATTTCAGTGTCTAGTAATATTGTAATAATGTGCGACCAACAGGGTAATACCAACCTGTGGATGTAGTTATGCTTATGAATAGACTCTATGGCCAGAACACTTTGAGCAATGTAAAATCTAGCCACAGTTTCAGTTAAAGTCTCTTCTCTCATCAACAATGTCATAATGTCACCACCAGGCAGATATTCCATTATCAGGTATAAGTATTCAGCATCTTGAAAGGAATAAAAAAGTTTTACTATAAAGTGGCTGGCAACTTCTGCAAGCAAATTCCTTTCAGCTCTAACATGTTCAACCTGTGGTGTAAAGAAAGAATCAGTGGAAACAAGGAAATTTCTACAAGCAACAAAATTATGCAATGTAATGCATTGGAAATTTGTCAGTTATGGTGAACGTGAATGTGACCTAAAATAACATTGTGAGCAAGAATTTTTAAAAGTTGAAATTGTCAAAGAAGTACACCACTTCCATCAGAAGCCATGAGAATTGTTCAAAATCAAATCACATCGTTTTGGGATAATATTTTATAAGAGCATTGGAAGCTTTGTTGGGTTGTGTTTGGTGGTTCAGGGAGAATGTGCATGTGCAGAAAGAGAGAACATGTGGGTGTGATTAAATAAAGAAAAGAAGAATGGGTGTGGAGCACTAAGAGTAAGCCTGCTGCTCCTCTGCATCATCACTGATTATGTCGCCCAGTGGGTTGTGCTGTTGCTGTCCATGTGCGTTGGTGAATTTTCTGGTGCTGACTATGTATAAGTTGCCGACGGGACTTTGTAGAAAAGCGCTTCAGGAAAAGCGGCGACGTAGGCTTACGAAGAAGGGGATTTTGCCGCAGAGAAGTTGTAGGTGTGATTGTGGGTGTGATGATACGGAACTGCAAATACATCCCATCGCCGTTGATATGTCGCCGGCGGCGGATAAGCAGGTGAAATCGTTGCAGACTGATAAGGATGTGCTTAAGTTGGAGAAGGAGATGTGGGATAGGTTTTATGCTACTGGCTTCTGGAGAAGTCCTTCTCAGAGATACAATCCTTAAAATAAAATAAAATAAAATAAAGTAAATAAATAACTACTGTTTTTGAAAAACAAAAACAATCTCGAGCAAATACATGGTGCTAACTTTCCTTTTCTTTTTTTTTTTTTTTTTTTTTCTTTTTTGTTTTTTTTTTTTTTTTTTTTTTTTTTGAATTTATTTTTATATAGTTAGTCGAGCCACAAAGTGTGCCTATATATTAAGGAAATGAGCTTTTTGACTGTAGATGCATTTTTTACTGTATATTAAGAAAAGTGTGCCTGTATTTTATGCTGGTTTCCCTGGTAAGATCATCTTCAAAAGTATATATCGACACACTATACTACATCCAGAATGGTAGGTGGTGTCATAAAGTTATGAGCATTTTGTCTGTTCATAATTTCTTGCTAGTTCTATTTAGTTAACATGTTGGCTTCACCTTCATTCATCTATCAATTATTCAATGTCGTCAATTTACTTTCTTGAAGTCCTAAACATTGGGTGTTCTACCTAGAGCTACTATTCTAGGTAATTGTTGCTTCTGGAGCTGTGAAGCACGAGGACCTTGTTGAGCAAGTGAAGAAGTTGTTTACCAAATTGTCATCGGATCCAACCACAACTTCTGAATTAGTTGCCAAAGGGCCAGCAATTTTTCAGATTTTTTGTGTTAAAATCCTTTGGTTTTTTATTTTTCTTATTTTTTCTTTTTTTCCTTCGATCTGACAGTGGGTGTTTTGGTTCACTTCTTATTTTTTGTATTAAATGGAGGAGTGGTGAGAGAGAGAGGAGGGTAATGTTATTTTGTGGCTTTGTATATAAGGTAGTAATTTTTTGATTAAGAATTGTGAATTCAATTTTTGAATATGTTATTTTGTGGGAAAATTAATGCTATATTAAATTGAATGGGAAAGTGAATTAATGCTATATTTGTTTTTTGAATGTGAGTTATTATTTCATATTAGTGTTATTTAGTTTTATTATTGGTGTTCTTTTAGTTCAATCACATAAAATTGGCACAATTTCAAAATCAAAAAAAAAAAGAAAGATAAGACGGCGTTTTTAAAATGCCACTATAACGGTTGGAATTTTTAATATTTAAAAAACCTATGAAGGCGTTTTAAAAACGTCGCTAAAATCATAGTGACGTCACAGTATTGTTAGGGTAGGACATGTGGCGGCGTTTTTAAAAACGTCGCCTTTACTAATATAGCGACGTTTTCCAAACGTCATAAAGTTATAGCGACGGCCGCGTCGTCGGCGTTTGGTACTAAACGTCACAAAAAGAATTAGCGACATTTTTGATACTTATAGTGGCGTTTTTTAAACGCCGCTAAAAGCCTAATTTCCAGCAAACCTAACCAACCTGGAACAAACCTGCCCAACACATCCTATAATTTCAAATAAGAAAATAAGAGACAACAACAACAATTATACAATAACCAAATGGGAAAAGACCGGGGTCGCTATAATTGATGTGGGAACAAACAATGGGCAGTTGTTGAAAGATGAATTCTACATTGGGCTCAGACAATTGAAGGAGTATGCACCTGCGATTCAAGATTATAATAATTTTTTGGCAAAGGCAATTGCAGGAGGGACTGGTCAGTTTGTTAAAGGGATCTTCAAATGCAGCAATGCTTACACCAACCAGGTTTGTTTTCACCAACTTATTAGTACTATATGAAAACAGAATATTCTAACATGCTTGGAAAATATAGTAGTAATATTTTAATTCCTAAAGGCAACATAATGGAAAATGTTGTATTTATTGATCTTCAAATGTTGTATTTGCAGGTGTGCATGTTTTTGTTGATGTTTTGTTTGATAATTATCTTCCATTTTCATAGAACATTGACATTGTTCACATGACATTTGTTTTTGCTATTCTGTCTATAGATCTGGATTTCAGTTTCCTTGAGATGAATCCCTTTACCTTGGTGAATGGAGAGCCATACCCATTGGATATGAGGTCAGAGTTGGATGACACTGCTGCCTTTAAGAACTTTAAGAAGTGAGCTCCTCCTCCTCCTTCTTACATTCTCTTTTGATACACAGTAAATTGATCTGTGAAAAGTTCCATTTAAAATAACCCTATTGTGATATTATCTAATCCTATTTATTTATGAGTTTAGGTGGGGTGTCATAGAGTTTCCTCTTCCCTTTGGAAGAGTTCTGAGTCCTACAGAAAGCTTCATTCACTCATTGGATGAAAAGGTAAGTGCATTACTTTTTATTTATGCATAGTATGAGAGATTTTCTATTTTGAGTAATCACCAATTGTTAAGTTGTAGAAATTTTCTATTTTGGTTTTGGTGTTGGTTTTTTTTTTTTTTTTTGAATTTATTTTTATATAGTTAGTTGAGCCACAAAGTGTGCCTATATATTAAGGAAATGAGCTTTTTGACTGTAGATGCATTTTTGACTGTATATTAAGAAAAGTGTGCCTGTATTTTATGCTGGTTTCCCTGGTAAGATCATCTTCAAAAGTATATATCGACACACTATACTACATCTAGAATGGTAGGTGGTGTCATAAAGTTATGAGCATTTTGTCTGTTCATAATTTCTTGCTAGTTCTATTTAGTTAACATGTTGGCTTCACCATCATTCATCTATCAATTATTCAATACCGTCAATTTACTTTCTTGAAGTCCTAAACATTGGGTGTTCTACCTGAAGCTACTATTCTAGGTAATTGTTTCTTCTGGAGCTGTGAAGCATGAGGACCTTGTTGAGCAAGTGAAGAAGTTGTTTACCAAATTGTCATCGGATCCAACCACAACTTCTGAATTAGTTGCCAAAGGGCCAGCAATTTTTTCAGATTTTTTGTGTTAAAATCCTTTGGTTTTTTATTTTTCTTATTTTTTCTTTTTTTTCCTTGGATCTGACAGTGGGTGTTTTGGTTCACTTCTTATTTTTTGTATTAAATGGGGGAGTGGTGAGAGAGAGAGGAGGGTAATGTTATTTTGTGGCTTTGTATATAAGGTAGTAATTTTTTGATTGAGAATTGTGAATTCAATTTTTGAATATGTATTTTGTGGGAAAATTAATGCTATATTAAATTGAATGGGAAAGTGAATTAATGCTATATTTGTTATTTGAATGTGAGTTATTATTTCATATTAGTGTTATTTAGTTTTATTATTGGTGTTCTTTTAGTTCAATCACATAAAATTAGCACAATTTCAAAACCAAAAAAAAAAAGAAAAAAAAAAGAAAAAGAAAGAAAGATAAGACGACGTTTTTAAAATGCCACTATAACGGTTGGAATTTTTAAAATTTAAAAGGCCTATGAAGGCGTTTTAAAAACGTCGCTAAAATCATAGTGACGTCACAGTATTGTTACGGTAGGACATTTGGTGGCGTTTTTAAAAACGTCGCCTATACTAATATAGCGACGTTTTCCAAACGTCATAAAGTTATAGCGACGGCCGCGTCGTCGGCGTTTGGTACTAAACGTCACAAAAAGAATTAGCGACGTTTTTGATACTTAAAAAACGCCGCTAAAAGCCTAATTTCCAGCAGTGTGTGGATCATTTGCCCAAATAATTTGTCCAAATAAAAAAGGGCACCCATATAACTAAAAACAAAAAAGCAACAAGTACTACTCTTTTTTTATTACTATTATTTTTTTATTTTTTTTAAAGAGTCTAAAAAATTGATTCCACATGAAGACCAAAAATACAAACTAAAGATAAATTTGTGCTCTACAATTTTAAAAAGAGACATTTCCTTTGATGAAATTTATTATCTGTAGACAAAATTTGGTAATTAAAATGACAAAAAAATACAGCGTAATTTTACTTCATGAAATATATCAACCCTAAGAACAAATTATGAAATATTTCAACCCGAAGAAGAAAGGAGCTTATCATCAGTTTGTACTGCATTTAGATGAGTCCATACTACAAAGGTCAAAATGAATAATAGTATTTTATCACACATTGCCATCATGCTTCCTGAAGGGGGTTAACAAAATACGCCTCATATGGCGCGCTATATACATGCATCAAAATGTGCGTGGTTGGCATCAAAGTCTGCCACTACAAAAAAATTGACTTTTTGCAATGGTAAAATACCGTCGCTAATATTCCTAATGCTATCGCTAATACTTTTTGCAACGGCAAAATGACTTTTTGCGACGGCAAGAGGGAGTCGCAAATGGAGGGGTTGCAAAAGAGTTTTTGCGACGGCCGACGGCATTTTTACCTTTTTGTGACGACACTGTGAAGTCGCTAATAACGTTTGAAATTTCTTGACTTTTTTGCGACGACACTATTTTACCGTCGCTAAAAATGTTATTTGAGACGGCAAAAAATACCGTCGCTAATACTTTTTTTTTTCAACGGCAAAACACTGTTTTGCGACGGTGTTGTGCCATCGCAAAAAGTATTAAAAATATGAAAATTTCTTTTTTTACGACAGTGTAATGCCGTCGCAAAAAGTATTAAAAAATAATAAAATTTCTATTTTTTTTCGACAGTATAATTCTGTCGCAAAAAGTAAAACCTGTAACAAAATTAATAAAAATATTAAAATTTTCTATTTTTTGCGACGGTGTAATGCTGTTGCAAAAAAGAAAAAAAACATCCTACGATAAAAATATTAAAAATATTAAAATTTCTCCGTAATAATATAAAAATAACAATTTCTTTATAATAAAATATTTTTCCATTCATATAATTACACATTAACAAAATTATCCCACTACATAATGTTCCATAATACATATATAATGTTTAAATACATGATTTTGTTCATAATTCAAAATAACATAAACCAAATTTCATTACTAAAATAATAAAACAAATTGCATTTAAATTCTCACTTTCATAAATAAAATTGAGGTCTAAACATATGAGCCATTTACTTTGGGACCCATATTTTACATGCTGAGGATTCAAGTCATTGTGAAGGCATTATGACACACAAACCCTCCTTGTCTAACTGTCACCCCCTGTCCGGCCATTGCACTGCAAAATTGTGGGTCTCCATGCCAAAAAACGCTTCAAGGACACCTAGAATATGAAAGGCAATTTGATCAGCTGCAGCTATAACCGTGGTGGCCTTGTATAGAAAATTTTCAACATAATCGGAAATGTTCAGTACAATGTTGAAGAGGGGATAGTGAAAATAAATTGCATAACTTTGGGCACTACAATGAAACTTCTTGGACACTTGCAACATATCACCTATGTAGTGCAAACATCTCTTAGTAGGACCCATGATCAACACTCTTGCGAGTGAGTCCAGTAAGCAAAAACATTCTTTACTTACAAGCCCTCATACAACCAAACCTCCAGAAAGCAAAAAAAATCCATTAATTTGCACATATTCCATGTAATGAAAACAACAAAGAAAGAAATATTGACATATTTTCGAGATACCAAATTAGAATCCTCAACATACACAAGCAACCTGAGAAATAAAATTTCATTGCAAATAAAGTTGTTTTGCCGATTTATAGACTAACAAGTATCCTTTAAAGAAATTTATTTATGATATTATTATAATAAATTTACTTGACATGCAAATAGTTATTATAATAAATTTACTTGACATGTAAACAGTTTTAACAATCCAATTTACCTACTTACATGGTTCTTGAGACAATTATGAGGATCCCCATAAGTTCGATTTATAGCATCTGCAATGGCAGTTACAAAGCAAGCAGCAGAAAAGCCGCTAGTTTCTCGGTCATGAATACCGTTCAACAAAAGTACCTATAAAGGAAGTAAATGCATTAATACAACATAACAATGTTGAAAACCCTACATAATAAGAGCCACAATAGGTGTTTAATAGCTAGAATCTTCGAATATAATTAATGTCATCGGAACATCAAAGGAATTAAGGGCCTCAATTGAATATTTTCAGCAAAGCCAATCACAAAGGAATTAGTAACTTCCTGAACTATCAACCAAATTTACAACAATTACTCGACAGACTCTTTTCTAGTCAAAGAGCATGCACATGATGCCTTGATAGAAGATTACCTTGGGGCAAGACCTTGAAGCAATGATCTCCCCAATGCCAAGCAAAACCTATGTATGGAGAATGATCAGTACAAGATAGAAATTAAAAACTTTCTTTTGTTTTCCCAATTAACAAACCACTGATGACAATTGTTTCATATCAATAGAAAAAACAAGATTAGAGAACCATTACCCACAACAGTGAGCAAAGTAAGGCAACAGAAAGAGTTCCAAGAACATATTTTCATTCAAATTTTAGATTAGTAGATAAGCTTAGATATACAATGCATAATTAGTACAGCAAATAATTTAAATAAGGTGAACATAAGAATATGCCACTGTTTATTTATGGATTCCAAGTATCTTTGTCAATAATAGTTCCGTTCAATTGATTAACTGATAGATGAACAAATTAAAACATGGAGTAGATAAGCCACCAAACCTCCAGCATGTGATAGGAGTATGACACAGCAAGTAACAACCATAGAGATTAAAAATCCTTTAAATGACTGACAAGTTTTAATAAGAGAGCAAAGAAGCAATGTACATGTATTTTCAGCTAATGTAATAGCCCAAGACTCACGTTTCTATAATAACCCCATAATATTATAATATCACAAAAAGATTTCTGTAATGGGCCTTGACAATGATCCTTCTGGTGACAAAACTGATTTGTATATCCACTTCACCTTTTTCTAGTTTTTCTTAGTAATACAAGCTTGCCTACTGAAAACAAAAAATAAATAACTAATTAAAATTGCAAAGACTATCCCGAAAAGGTTTCACTTTGGTTGATAGTGTTACCAGAGATGGGCAGATGGAAGTAAAAAGGGATCCCATAGCATAAATGATGCGGTCAATAGTCCTCAATTGATCCAGGACAGTTGGGTTTACATTGGAAAAAACCTATTCAATAGAAAGCACAGACATTATTTAGACAGCAAACAAAATAAGTCATAGATATACTAACATGAACTTTTACAATGAAGTATTAATATCAAAGAATATGCAACTCAAAAGAAAATCTGTGGATGCTGATACTCCACACTCTATTGCTGTTCAATAAGTTCAGGGCTACACTGCAACATCTTAGACCAAATATGTAATACTGAAAAATGTAAGACAAGCCACAACTGAAAAAATAAAAATTTCACTCCACTAGACATTTCTGGTTCATCAAACTGCACTTGCTTTAAGCACAGGCCATAAGACGGTAACCAAAGTATGTTTGCTCAGTACACATCCGAACTAGTGGAATAGGATCAATTGCCTTAGCATGCTGGCAAAGAAGGTGGGGTTTGACATGAGGTTCTCAAACAAACAGAAGTTGTAAAACTAGATGAGGATTAAAATGAAAGCTCAAAATTAAAAATAAATAAATAAATCATTGAAACAAGAAAATCACGATAGTTGTAGCATATCACATAGCTTATTGTTCGAGAAAATATTTGTCACATAACCAACATAATTCTCTAGGAAAAAGAAGAAAAATTAACCATCACATTACTTGACAGATTCAGTACTGGGCAGAAAAATTAACCATCACATTACTCAGGGTGAGGGGAAAAGGATGATTTTCCAAAATATGACGTCTAATTTCTATGATATTCATATCTTCCATAAAAGTGAAAACTTGGACTTTCAAA